GGATTAAATCTCCCATAACCTGATGGAAATTAAGAAACATTTTACTCCCCATCATGGACAGGAGTGGCAGAGGAAGGATTCAGCCTTTCAATCCTTCATCCAGGGTGATTGATGAAGACACTTTCACTGATCCATAGCTGTCTCTGCACCACAGAAGAAATCAGAGAGGTGAGAAAAAGATGCTCATTTTCCATGAAGCCTTTTCGTGAAGCAAGTAAGGGTTAATCCAGCCCACCAAAGGCCTGGATTTAGTTGCTATAGAAAATCTTCCCAGTGAGGTTGGGCGAGAAGCCTCCAGCCATACCTGCTGGGTTGCTCGGGAAGGACTGTGCCCGGACATGCTTGGGATGGCTCACATCCAGCAACCACTGCTAGGGAGCCCACGATGCTGAATGAATCACGAGCCAAACAGCTTTATCCCTGCCCTTAGTCCATGAGTGGGATGTGCCTTGGAAAAAACAACCAGAGGCCAGGCACTGGTGCTGCTGGAGACAGAAGCGATGGTCCAAACTCTGCCTTCGGGCAGTGCTGCCACGCTTAGAGCCGGGTCTGGACCAGGAGAGATCCTGGCTCTAAAATGCGTTACACCCACTGGGCTGTTTTTAACATGTGTCCTTGTGAGATAGGGTGGGTTTGGAGGTAAGAGGATCATGGTAGAAGGGGTTGTATGTCGTGTGTTTAGATCTGATGTCTTCAGGGCTGTGTCATGATTTTTGTGTTTTTCTGGCTCAACTCTTGATTTGGAAGTGGCTCGGCAGAAATTGAGGTCGTTGCAAATGTGACAATGACACTTCACTTTTCTGGAAAGCACTGGTTGCTCCATCAAGTGAACTCGAGCTACCAGCTGGGAGGTGTGGAAAGACACAGGAGTTCTGTGGTGCAATGTGAGATGGGCAAAGGAGAGGTTGTCCTTGGAGGAGCCGGGGTCCGAGCACACAGGGAGAGCACAAGCACTGCCCCCGCCCCGTGCTGTCCATAATTGCTTTGCTGCTGTAACGCCGGTGTGGCTTATCATTTTCCATCCTTTCTCGGAAATTATAGAGGAGAGAAAGGGAGATGTGTTTCCGCTGTCAGCGCTTCAGGAGCATGCAGCAGCGTGGCTGGATGAAAGGAGCGACGTGGTGGTTTTGCTCTGCAGAGGTCCCAGTGAGACGCATGCACGAAGCGCTGCGTGGCTTTGGGCTCAGAGAGAGGGAAGGCAGAAACCGGTGCCAGCTCGCGGTCATTCCCCGGCTGCTGGAGCTCTTCAAGGAAGTTGTACATCTGGTGCTTTCCCATTTAGTCCTTTCAAGAGGCTTATTTGAGAGCGAGGTTTGCACGGAAGAGTCAGAAACAAACAGCTCGTGGTCCCATTTGTGGGATGAGAGGAACATAAGAAGAGACTTTAAAGATGGGATAATCAGTGAATGAAAACCTGTGTTTTAACAAGGCTGACATTTTGCTGTGTCCATTAGAAGACTGTTGTGTGTTACAGTGATTTTTCCCATAGCGTGTGGAGGAAGGGAAAGCCGTTGACTCTACAATACAGCCCCTGAACACAAAGCCTGGGGTGCTGCAGAGCCCTGGGGGTGGTCTGTGTCTGCACAGGACCTCTCTCCCCTTGGCCTCTTCCAGTCCTGCCAGCCAGACAGTGGTAGAATAACCTCTCCTCTGGGAGGACTCTGTAGTTTAATAGTTTTTGTACCACCACCTCTCGGGGAGTTCTTACAAACAGAAGGGGTTTTCACTGGTCACCCTGCTCCTCTGGAAGTTTAATATCATCTCCTAAGCCCCATCATTTCCCTGGTCGCTCTACGATGTACTGTCCCGTTGTTACAGCTATGCCACTACCAGTGACTATGGCCGGATATCACAGCCCAAATCACCTCCTGCTTGTATGAACCATGCTTTTGAATCCCCACACATCTGCTTGGCTTGGCCAGCTGTGCCCTGTCGGCATAGGGGAGTGCAGGGTGCTGGCTGCAGTGGAAGGACGCTGCTCTCCAGGGTGACAGGAACACAAACACAAGGGGAGAATCCGATGCGTGAAAGCCGAGCACCTTCCCGCTGCTGTGATAAGGAGCAGTGGATAGCGTGTCAGTTAATATTGGACCAGGATTGTTGCTGGGGTGCTGTGGCAGGAGCAAACACGCCAGGAGTCACCACGGCGCGATGGACTACGTGGTGGGCAGTGGGCCAGCGTGGGAGGCATGCGGGACCATGGCTTCGGGGGTGTCCGGGACCATCTGGGGAGACTGTGCCGTGGGGGGAAGCAGGGCTCACACCAAGTCACTCGTCCTGTCCCCAGGGTATAAGAATATGTAGTCTTTTCATACTGTGTATATGGCCAGGGGTCCTACAAGCCTCTTTAGGATCCTTGGGGTTTTTTTAATTAATGGGGAAAGCAACGGCACTGTGCTGGTGTCAGGAAGAAGGGCCATGTCAGAGCCCACATCTGCTCATGATTCAGAGGAGAAGATTCCTTTTGGATCACTCTGTGTCCTCCACAGGTACAGGTAATTAACCCTAGAAACAGAATCACTTGGGTTGGAGAAGACCTTTAAGATCATCAAGTTCAATCATAAACCAGAACTGTAAACCACCTCTGCCTTCTAATACATAATGATGCCCATAGCCTGGTGCACTGAGAGGGCCACTGGCCGTTGGTGTGACTTACTGGTGGGATTTAACAGCTGTCTTGGAGGTATCTCCTATTAAATATGTTATTAGCTGAAGCAGAAGGGGAAATAAAAGCAATAATTTTGTGAAACACAGATTTGCATCCCATCTTCTCCTTAGAGCGTCACCTCTAGAGCAGTAGATTGCTCAAACCTATGTTGGACAAACGAGCAGTTTCCTTGCTTGTGAGGATGCTGCACAGTTTATTTACTTTTTTGGAGGGGTAGCTAACATCCTTATTCTCCTCTGAAGTCTGGCTTTACCTCAGTTTCTGCCTGAGAGATGAGAAAATACTGAACGACAAAACCGCTTCCCGCTGAGAAATCACAACGGCTGTTAGCTGAGGTTATTGGAAAATCAAAGGGTTTGTGCACGGGAAGAAATGCAGCTAATCCCAGCCGGGGAGTTGCTGCCCCAGCACCTGGTTTCTCCTCCTGCCTCTCATCACAGTTCTTGATGTCCTTCTGATATATGGGACCCTGTGAGGGGGAGACCTGGCCTTTGGATGCAACGATAAAGGATAACTCCCAGGGTATGGTTGCTTCAAGGCGTCTTATAAGCGGGAGACCTCGTAAAATGGAGAATAATGCTCCTGCTGCAGCATGCTGCCAGGGTTCAGCTCCTGGGAGCAGCCTGGGGAAGCAAGAAGCAGGCATGCGCCTCCATAAACCAGTTAATTGATTCCTGTCAGCTACTGATCATACAAATCATCGAGCACGTTGCAGCCACGTGAAGCTGGAGATATCCGAGATGTTGTCCTGCCAAAAATGGCAACACTGCCACTTGGCTCTTCCGCGTGGGTGTGGAGGTGACCCTTGGACCCACCAGCAGCTCAGCACCCTCTGCATGTGTTTTATGAGGCAAAGTAAATGTTTGGGCAGAGGCAAAACATGCTGCTGGCGTGTGGGCATGGCCACATGCGATCTGCCTGTGCTGACTGGCAGATAATTGCAGAAGCACTCGGGTTTCTTCGAGGTAAGTGTGCCAAAGGCAGAAGAGCGATGCCTGGTGCAGGGGAGCACGATGTGCACGTGGGGTCCTCGGCTGGGTCTCATACCCCCTCATCCATGCGGGTCTACTGATGGGCTCAGGGGACACGGGGAAGGGGACTGCGCTGGACTTCACGGAGGATGAGACTTGTGGCCCTTCCCCATGTGATGAGACAAAGGAGACCGTGTCCTGACCCATCCCCACAGCCGCCCACCATCACAGGGAGTTTGTATACGCTGCAGCTGGACTGGCCAAAGGCTCCATTGCACCGTCTGCCCATATGTGTAATGCGTTTTCCCTCTTTCTCCGGTAGAAAGCAGCCGGTCCCGTGTGTGTGTGTCTCGGAGGGGCGCTGAGCTGCTTAAAGCCAAATAACAAAAGTGATCTTGTGCAAACGCACGCCTGAGAGCAAACAGAAAGGCTGGGGCAAAAGGGAAATGGGAACCCACCCCTAAATACCACAACCAGGGAGCCTTGGCACTGGCTGCCCTCCCTGCAGGCATGGTGCTCACCATACCAGGGCATTGCTCGGTCCTCAACCCCTCCTGCACACGTGCCCACGGATTCTGGCAGCTTGAGCCGCGGGCAGGCAAGTCAGCAAAGCCGCCGACCCGTGCAGCGGGATGTTAGGCAGAGCTCCCGTTGGCTCAGGTGTGAGCACTGGTGGTGTGGCCACAGGAACATATCCCTCTCCCCACCGAGTCCGAGGTCCAGAGGGTCCTGCCTGCGGGTACTGAACTTTTTTCAGTCCTGGGCAAGTGTTTCCTGGCATGTTTGTCTCCTCCAGCCCCATCCCTCCTGACCCTAACAGGAGGTTCAGGAGGACAAGATCAATGCGGATGGGCGGGAAGGTATAGCTACACGGCCAGAAATCCCTTGGGAGCCAGGGGGGCACAGCTCCTGTTCCTTGGCCCCCTCAATTATACCCCTCAATAAAAATGATGACAAAACCAAGCCTGGGCAGGGTAAGGGGGAGCAAGTCTGGTCCAGCATCGCTGCTGCCGTAGGAACAGCCGGGCGTTCAGGCTCACGTGAACTTCACGGCTTTTGGGCGAGAGGCAGGTGGAAGGGGTTAAGGAAGCTGATGCCATTGGCTATCTTTTCATCTTGTAAAAACAGTCCTTTCAGCAGTTTCAAATATCAAGAGGTGTGGGGCTGGGTATTTTACTGACATCCCAATCCAGGGAGAAACCTGCCCAAGGGTTAAAGTTTGAGCAACCGAGCAAACAAGACAACTCCTACTTTGCGGTCACGTGAGCCTGACTGCAGCTAAAGGCCAAGGGAAAAACATCATAAACCAAGGCTTCGGCTTCGCAGGAGACGGGAGCAACCAGGGCAGGCTGGGAGACACGATGGATCTGCTGCCAAACTTTTCTTTTGCCACTTGGCTGCTCCTCATCGTTTTCCTTAGCCTCCTGGTCCTGTAAGTAGAGGCTGGCCCCAGGGTGATGGGGAGGAGAAGCCTGTGCCTGCAGCTGGGAGGGGACTGAGGCCAACACCCTCACTATGAAGTGCCCAAGTACACGAATCAGTCTTAAAAACTCATCCTCGGTCTTCTACCTTGAAGGCAGAGGCAAGGGCTGATACGGGAGGGGTTGCAGGGCTCCCCTGTGCTCTCCCCATGCCGGCTGGAAGGGAAGGAGGAAGTTGGGCTGGGCAGGGAGGGAAATAAAAAGGAACTCAGTGATTTTTTTGCTTTTCTCAGCAGATCCAAAGGAGAAGTAACTTCTGTGTTTCTAACCGCAGCAAGCTCTGGTTGGCTGCCGCGGGGACAGGACGTCCCTGGCTGGGCTGGGCTCTGCTGGGAGCAGGGCAGGGGGTGATGGCTGTGTCTGCCTGTGTGCTTGTGCCAGCAGACACCCCGGTTTAAATAGTTATGTTGGGAAAATTGGCCTTTTGCTGATGTCACTCAGGGGAGCTGTAGTAAGCTATACAGGAAAAACTTAATTTTGCTGTTATAATTTATGTCCCCGCTCGGCTGCTGTGCTGCTGTGGCTCAACCACCTGAGCATCACAGTAGGTCTTTGCAAAGACAAACACAAGGGCAGGTCTCAGCTTGAGGACTTAATCCTTCTGAGGTGTTTCTTCAGCCCCTTGAGTCACAGTTGTTGGATCTGAGGAACTCAGTGTGGCCCCTGAATAAAGACCTGAGGTGCCCACGTGAACCATGTTTGCTTGGGCTGGGCTTCAGCTCCTTTCAACCCATGTCTTGTATCAAAATACACCCCAAATTATCTTGTACCCCAAGTCATCCTGCATTTATTGCAGGAAGAGGGTGTCCTCAGCAGGACTGCTGCTGCTAGTCCATCATTTCAGCTTCTTCTGGGAGACAGGAATCAGTTATTTAAGCTCTTTGCTGTTCTTGGGATGAAGAACCATTACTTCTCATTGCATAAATGCATCTCTCATGCTCTTTCCTTGGCAGCTATGGGATATGGCCCTTCCGGACATTCAGGAAGCTGGGCATTCCCGGGCCACAGCCTCTGCCATTTCTGGGAACTTTCCTGGGGTATCGGCATGTGAGTACCGGCAGCTGCTGCTCTGTACTGCCTTAGGGTCTTACTTGTAGCTGGTGCTGGTTTTCCCATCCTTGGAGCATCTCTTTCCTCTGCCCTTGATTCAGTCAGGTGGAAATGATGCTTCCAGGCAGGAAGCTCTTTGGACACACAGAGAACGCAACAGTTACTTTTAGGGTCTGATTGACCTGAATGAGGTATGCTGTGGTTTTCAACTACTTTGTAATTTAAATTATTAGTTAGTTAGGGTTTTTGCCCATTCCCCAGCAGCTGAAAATCTGTTGGATACAAAATAAAATGTTGAAGAGAAGCCTAAGACAGCTAATTTCTGAGAACTGTATGTTTCTGTGTGTCATCCCCTTCAAGAGGCTGAATTAGCTCCAGCAATGCCCCATGAAGCCACCTGCTGTTGGGCCAGCCTGAGAGTACCCAGGTGAATAGATTTCTGAATAAAACTGAAATATTATCACATTACCAAACCTTACCAGACAACTAGGTAGTAGCTGGTCCCAGGTAACTAACTGCAAACGCAGAACAAAATGTTTTAGCTGCAATGAAAGAGGTGTTTTAGCTTGTGTTTGCTGGGCTTTACAACATGCATACAGTCTCTTACTAATGGTTCAGCTGATGCATGGTGAGTGTTACGTGTCCCATAAGTTTCATCCTTACATGTAACATCAGTAAAAAACCTTAATGGAAACAAAGCAAAACAAAAAAGCCATTATCATTCCGATTCAGTAACTGCAGTGGAAGATCTCATGAGGACGAGGCAGTAGCAGCTCTAACTTGTTGAGCTGAAGATGAAAGGACACCCTGGGATCTAGTTCTGCCTGCTAACTCCGCTCACACTAAAGCTGTGTACCCTGTCGTACCTTGTCTTCATCACATTTTTAGCTCAGGTTGACTAGTGGAAGTTGAAAGTACTTTTTTTTTTATCTCTCTGCTGTCTTTTTTCCCTCCAGTGCAAATGTCCCCTAAGTGTCTACGTGACTCTTCAAAGCCACCGTCCACCCCCCAACCTCTTACAATGGGTCCATGGGATGCGCCGCACTACCAGCTGTGACCTGCCTTGATCACTTTTCACTGGCAAACTGTTCATTTCTCCTTTCTTCTTTTGCAGGGACTCCTGAATTTTGATCAGATGTGCTTTGAAAAATACGGTAGAATCTGGGGGTGAGTTTCTTTCTGCAGAACAAAACTACCTGTTTGGGGTACTCCACGGCCCCAAAATAGAATGGAAAAAGGTACGTTGCCACCATGTCTCAGCACTGTAATTCCAGCAGTGACAGCTTGGGAAAAATCCAGCTTCACCACTGGGAATGTCTCCAGCCATCTCTCAAAGGCTTCTCTCCTGCTGGGATTTCAGTGTGATGCAGGGCTGGGATGATGGTGGCCAGTTTGGGGGTCACTGGTTTGCATAAGCTTTGAAAATAACCATTTTTTTTTTCCTTTTCTCCTTTTGGGGACATTAAAACCTGAACAGTTGTGCTAGCGACCTCGGGGCTGGGGAAGCTTGCATCACAGAGAGCCCAGGGAGCTCCCCTCGTCCTCCGACACCCGCCAAATCAGCACGGCCATCCCTTTATCTCTTAGCTCCAGATGCATTAGTGAGGGTATGCACCAATCATTTCCCAGCCACGCTGCCTGCCCAGAAAACTCCACTGCTTGGTGTCAAACTGAGCCTCGTGCCTTTGAAGCTGCTCTTCTGTCTGTCTTGAGCAGAAAGCAAGCTGCAGGCTGCCGCAGCGTTTTTCATCTTGCTCCCTGCTTCTCCCAGAGCCGGGGTGCGAGCTACCTTTCAACCTGCCTCCCCGCTCCCTGCACAGCGCTGGTTTTGTGCAGGGGCCTCTTATCATGCTTCTCTTGAGAACCCCTCAAACCGAAGCAAAATTGTTGTGCAAAAAAAAAAAAAAAAAGAGATATCCTAGGAGGCTTCATGAAACCTAGCACATTTTTTTTTAGAGATTAAATGTTCTGAAGCCTCTTGAAGACAGCAGCTTCCCTCGGCTGTGGCCCAAGGCTCCCTGCCCTTTAGCCTACACCGCAGCTTTTAAGTTTTTCTGTCTCTGTTGATTGGAAAATGGAGGAGACAGATGAGTTTTTCCCCTCTCATTGCCTCGTAGGCCAGGCAGGGAAATCTCTTTACCCCACAGGTAGGCTATTCAGTGTGGATTTACTGACTCCAGCTACCAGTTGCAGAAGCAGAGCTCAGATAGCCCAAGCGCAGGGGATCAACACTGTGGCAAAAGCTGCTTTTTATCTAAACCCACGCTGCTTTGGCAACTCCCTAATACCACAGACAATTGCTAGAAATATTCATGCTGTCTGTGTTTGGCATTTTCTTTCCCTTTCTCCTGTTTTACTACATAATAAAACAGTTTCAGCCTCATCCCTTGGGCTATTTTGTCAGAGGGGACTCAGCTGGCCCAAACCCTCTGAGCTCCAGCAGCCAACGTGCAGGGCTGTGGCAGCAGACGAAGCAGGCTGGTTTTGCTCCAACTGACCGTGAGCGATGGACTGACTGTGGGTTTTTCTCGGCTTAGGATTTTTGATGGTAGGCAGCCGGTCCTGGCTGTTTTGGATCCCCTCCTCATCAAAAACGTCCTGGTGAAAGAGTGCTATACCATTTTTACCAATCGCCGGGTAGGTATCTGTTGCTGTGCTTTCCTCTGCAGTACAGGGTGCATGGAGCAAGCAAGAAGGTGTTTCTTCTGGGTTTCTGTTGTCCTTTACTGAGCTCTTCAGCAAGTCATTGCTCTCTGTTGTGCCCCAGTTTATTCATGGTAGCAACAATGAAACTGCGAGGGAGGTGTACAGGCTGGGACATTGGGACATCAGCCTGAAGGCACCCTAGGACTGATGCCATTTGTGACCCCTACACTTTTCTTTCCATTTCGGTTGTTTGCTGGTTGAGGTAGAGCTGATATGACTTCAGGGGCCAAGTCAACACTCCATGGTGGTTTTGGTGGGGTTTTTTTTGCATTGCTGTCATATAGAAGGGCACTGGAAACCTTCACCCATCTCCCTGTGTAATTGTGTCCCTTTTGCTGTAAAATTCCCCCTATGCAGAACTTCCGTCTGAATGGGATCCTGGAGTCAGCCATCAACGTGGCTGAAGATGAGAAGTGGAAAAGGATACGTACTGTGCTGTCTCCAACCTTCACCAGCGGGAAGCTGAAGGAGGTAAAGCAGAGGCCACTGGTACTTTGCATCAATAGCTGGAGAAGGACTGGTCCATTTCTGGGTACAAACCTTCCCCACAAATGGGGAAGTGACCCCGTTTGTCAAGACCACGTTCGTTAGCACCTGCGTTGTTGGGCGCAGTTCAGCAGCACAGTGGCTGTCTACTGTCATGGGGAGGGGGTCGGAAGGATTTGGGGGATGAAATGGCACACACAAAGGTACTGACTGAGGCTGTTGGCCCTATGACCTGTATTTTCTTCTTGCTAAGCACATCACTCAGACCATGGTGCCCATTTCCCATGCACTTGGGAGCCAAGTTCGCTCCCAGCTGGAGGGAAGGCTTAGGTGGAATGGGAGCCTCATGTGGATTTTGGGAGGAGAGCCTTGCCCAGTCATAGTCAGATGAGCTCGGTGGACTGGTTATTAAGATGAGAGAAAGCGGTGTCGGGAGCCTGGAAATTACACCTTCCCCATGCCTGTCCTTCCACCACAGGCCAAAGGCTTGGCAAGTGGCAGATGGCAGTGTGGAATTTCCCAGTCTTGTGTGGTGGAGGTGAGTCAACAGTGCCTTCTGCTTTGGTTTGCATTTCAGATGTTCCCTATCATTAATCACTATGGCAAAAAATTAGTGGAAAGCATTGAGAAGAAAGTGGCTAATGATGAGTTTGTGACCATGAAGGAGTAAGTAAACTGTGTGGGGCTGAAAGTTTGTATTCTGTGTGGGGAAGGGTTGTTTTGGAGAGCCTTTTCCATGCTGTAGGTAGATCCCTTGTCCACTATGGAGACAAACTCCACCATGGTCATGGTGAGTTCCTCAGCAGTGGGCTTTCTGTGGTCTGTTCCCCATTTTATTTCACTGGGGATGCATTTTGAGGAAGGAGTAAGGCCCATTCCAAAAGTCCTGCAAGATGTATTTTGGATGTCATTCTTACAGACTCTTTCACAGGGGGAAATCAGAATACAGTCTTTGTTAGCCCAAACTGCAGTTCAGTGCTTTCCAACCACAGCCTAGGTTTTTGACACTGAGAAAAATTGTGGGATGAATGCAACTGGGGAAACTTTGGAAAATACAATGCTGGTTACTGTCAAATTAGGAACTGGTATGTTAGGACTCTGCATTGAGTCCTTGATTAAAAGAGATGCCCTCTCAAGGGATTCCCTATCAAGGATTGTTCCTAAATGGGCTCTTATTCACTACTCTGGTTGGGTTCATCCTATTCACTCTCTCTTCTTCTCTACCTAGCATTTTTGGAGCCTACAGCATGGATGTGGTGGCCAGCACTTCTTTCAGTGTGAATATTGACTCCATGAGCAACCCCAATGACCCCTTTGTCACCAACATTAAGAAATTCTTCAAATTCAGTTTCCTGAACCCCGTGTTCGTATTCTTAGGTATGACACATCTCACACAGCCCTGAATTCAACGTCAGAGGTGGTGACAACCTGCTTTTGCTGGTGGCTCCCTTAGTAGCTCTGAGTCCTCTTTGCCATATGAGAGACGCTCAGCCCTTTGCAGGATTAGATTCACCCTAGCAGGTCTGTGGAAATATTTCCCCAGGGAAACCACAGTCAAGATCTGTATAGCCCATGCAGGTCTTTGCAGCATCCTCCTGCAAGCAGAGACCCTATTTGCAGAGACACGAAGGAGAGATTCTCTGCCACGGAGAGCTGCACTGAGTATGGCATTGTGGCCATATAGCGACATACTGGGGAGATGCTGAAGTGCTGTTGCATGCCAGCCATGATTAGGTAAAAAGTAAGCTGAATGCAACACAAAGCAATTTTTTTTGGGTCAGTGTACAGTTTTACCCCTCTCCTTTCTGTGCTTTGTGCCAGTTTTGAGTTTCTTAACCCGCCACTTTGGGCTAAAATATGTTGTTCTTTTCCCTCCTTTTAGTGTTGTTCCCCTTTGTTATCCCAGTGCTGGAAAAGATGAAAGTGACTCTGTTACCCTCAAAGGTTATGGACTTCTTCATGGGCGTCTTCCTAAAAATGAAGGAGGAACGGAAAAAGGGCATCAGCACGGTGAGCCCAGCCCAGGCAGCCTCTTCTCTTCACTGTGCTGTCCTGAGTGCAGGAGGAACGCCGGGTCATCTACAGAAGCTGTGATGTATCACCTACCCTAAACCTGGGGGTGGCCAGAGGCACACCCCGCCTGAGCTTCCACATGGAGAGAGTATTTGTGTTCATAGAGAGTCTCCAGTCTGAACCTCAGTGTGCGCTGAAGCCGTGAGCCTGCTGCTGGGGCTGCAGATGGAGCAGATCTTTCAGCAAGGAGCTTGTGGGGGACAAGGTTTGCCTCCTCCCCACCCACATCTTCTCTCACTGCCTCTGTTTCTCCCCAGGACCGGGTTGATTTCCTGCAACTCATGGTTGACTCGCAGAGCTCCCATGACAGCTCCAAGTCTGCTGAGACTGACTCCTACAAATGTATGTCTTGAGATCTGTCCTCCTCCCAGCAGAAAGCATGGTAGTTCCTCATGTGGTTAAAGGAAGGAAGTAGAAGAGGATTTTTGCCATTAATCCTACGGGAAATTCAAGGTCTCAGTAGTGGGGCCATAACAATGCTTATCGCCTATCAGCCATATTTTATTACATCCCATTTCCTGGGATAAATCCTGAGGTCTGTTTGTGCAACAAAGAGCAAACAGAGTGAATATCTCCTTACTCCCATTTCTTATTTTATCTTCTCTGAAGGCCAGCGATGTTGGCTGTAATTCACAAAGCACACATGCTGCACATACCTTGCTCATCTCTGAGCTCATCGCTGTTCGTCATCCTAGGTAAACTGTTAGATTTAGAAAATAATTGCTCAGCCAAGATGCAGTCCCAGTCCACCAACCTCAATCAAGGCAGGATGCTTGTGAAGTGCTGAGGTGCCCGCACAGGGGGTTTGTACAGCACCCTGCATGGCAGGCTGCATCCTGGCAGTGCTCAGACACTACCGCAGTCCCAGCGTTAAATCCCGTATATCCTCACTGCCACTGCCATGCTGCTCAGGGCTACTCAACCCTCAGCAACGCAAGGCTCACCTCGGGGCTTAGAGGAGCTGCTGATCAGCTCTTCATCTCTATCTTTTCTTGGTATGTGCCCCTATGTTTTCTGGCCCAGGAGCGTGGTCTTGGGAGACAAAAGAAACTTTCTGAATCAGGCTCAGGCTGCACATACCTTGTTTCTGCTCTCAAAGACAGCAGTGTGACACTGCTGATCTTGACGGCAGGTTTCTGGCTGCACAGCAGTGCCAGACCCACCCCTCTGTGGTACCAGAGGGTTAGCTTCACCAAGTGTGAAGTAGTTATGAATAGCATTACCTAGCTTGATGAGCAGGATCCTGAATTCCCAAGCATTAATCACCATTGGTTTCAGCTTCTTGCATGTGCTTTTATGCCTCTTTTCAGCATTAAGTGACGAGGAGATTCTGGCCCAGTCTCTTCTCTTTGTCTTTGCTGGTTATGAGACCACCAGCTCCACCCTCAGCTACATCTCATATAACCTGGCCACCCACCCTGACGTGCAGCGGCGACTCCAGGATGAGATCGATGCAACCCTGACCGACAAAGTAAAGGAGGGTGGGGGGATGCTGGGGTTGTTCCCACCCTTGTAGACCCTGAGCCAAAAGCCAGGCTGGAAACAAAACAGTGGAGGAGGTGCTGGCACTGAGATTTCCCCTCCTCTGGTCTCTGATGCCTGAATGGGAGGCGTTGCGGGGTGTTGGGGTCGGGTCGAAATCCCATGTTTGTAGCCATCCTGATTCCTCTCCCCAGGCTACTTCCATGTACAACGCCATCATGCAGATGGAATACCTCGATATGGTGGTGAACGAATCCCTCCGGCTCTTCCCCCCTGGGGGCAGGATTGAGAGGGTCTGCAAGAAGACAGTGGAGATCAACGGTGTGACTATTCCAAAGGACATGGTGGTCATGATCCCAGCCTATGTCCTGCATCGTGATCCAGCATACTGGCCGGAGCCGGAGGAGTTCAGGCCTGAGAGGTGAGGACCAGGTGGGGAGGGAATAGCTACACACTCATCTTCAGCCCTGGGTGTGGAAACAGCAGCAAAAGTTGGGAATGCATGATTATAACATTTAAATTAGGCATTTATCATTGTCTGACATCTAGTCCAGGCATTACCGGGAGGGGAGTTTTATGGTCTACATCCATAAACTGTGCATGGAATTTAATTAACTGCATTGAAGGGAGAGACAGTGAGAGCAGCTCCCAGCAGCTGTAACACTGAGAGGTTTATGGCCAGATATTAAAACAAGAGCCACTGGGTGACTGGCACGATGCCGTGCAAATCAGCAGTGGAAGGGCAAAGACAGAAAGGAAATAAAACAGTTTTTCAACTCAGGTTTTGAAACATTCCTTGCCTAGGCATCTCTCTTAGAACCGGTGAAATGAGTCAATAGCCCAAGGCAAACCTGGGAGAGCCTGGGTCTGCTAGTCTTCGGGAGGCCGGGAAGATGTTGAGGGCTGGTCCAGCGAGAGCAGGACCAGAGCTGTGCCCTTGCAGCAGGAGTTGAAATGCCCCTGGAAGCTCATCTCGGTTTGGGGATGCGGTGGCTCTGGGACAAAACATGGGAGCAGTATCACACAGAAGTTATGGAGATGGGGGCTGCTGAAATCACCTGTGGACCACTGTGGTCACCCTGCATTGAATGCAGAGGGAACCACCCAGATGGGAGCACTCTGGCGATGAGCATGTTACACCAGTCACTCCAGTAGCACCATCCTTACTCCAGCTGACAAACCAGGCGTGGGCGTCTGGCCAGGAGCTCTTTCAGGATCACTCGCCTTGCTGGGAGTTCAAAAGTAGCGAGGTACTTCACTGCTGCCTTAGCATGGCTGAGGTTTGTACCTGGACCTCATGCACCGTGAATGAAAAGCTTTCTGACATGAAAACGAACTGATCACTGGGAAGCATCACTGAAAATGCTCAGTGGCAAATTTCTCTGTGAAGCTGATTGTTCTTCCCTGTTTTTCATGATGAGGAGAGGAATGGCTGGCGTGTCTCAAAAGCAACCCTGCCTTTAGTCACGCAGGGGGAGAACGTCTTTGTGCTCGCTCACTCCTTTGATCTAAAGGGAAGACGTGAAGCTGTAGACCTGTGTGGTTTAGGGTTTGAAATCTGGGTTCAGTTTTTGAGCTGAGAGGGAGTTCTGAGAAGAGAGTAGTTATGAAATCCATTAGCATATTTCAGGTATTCCCTCGTTCACCTGATGGACCTGGAGATGCACAGCCAACTCCAAGCAGCAGGATAAAAGCAGAGGCATAAGGTATCTATTGAGATAGAAATAAGGGGCTTAGCTGGGTTCTTCTAATACACACACAAAAAGCTTTTGCCTTCCTAGACTCCACTTCAGATCTGAAAGCTGACGTATCCTGGAACAGTAGCTCTTCCTAACTTTTCTTTTTTGGTTGTAATCAGGTTCAGTAAAGAGAGAAAAGAGTCTATGGACCCCTACACCTTCCTGCCATTCGGGGCTGGCCCCAGGAACTGCATAGGAATGAGGTTTGCCCTCCTCACGGTGAAAGTGGCTGTGGTCTTCCTGTTGCAAAACTTCTCGTTCAGAACCTGCAAAGACACGCCGGTGAGAATACGGGGTGATGTGTTTCGTTATCTGCCCTTCAGTCCCACTGCGGTGGTCCTGCACACTCTCTTTTGCCTCCATCTCAGGGCATACGGGGAACTCTCTCACGTGCACATTAAATACCTGCCTTCCCCGAGGAGTTCAGGGGCCGCCAGCTTCAGGACTGCTAGGGTTTTACTGCTTCACACAGAGACCAGGGAGGATGATTTCACCAAGGATTAGAGAGGCATATGGGAATAACTGTATTTAAATCTTCTCAGTTAATTTAAATGGTTCACCACAAGTTACTGATACATTTTCTTAAGCCTCTACAGAAGCAGATTTAATGTTGGTAGAATATGTCAGGCTGAAATCCCTGAAGTCCTCTGCCTTTCTTTGGGTGCCCTTAAGCTGTGGGGTTCTTGCTGCCCCACAGTGTCCTGCCAGTCTGCCTTGACCTGTCTTAGGAAGACGCTGCTCCGGAGGTCTCAAGGGGAATATCCCCCCAGCCCACTCCAAAGCTGTGCTTTGCAGCACAAACGTGGCTATTTGCTGTGAGAGATCCCAAGACAGCGAAATTCATCTCTTAGGGGCCACCAGGCAGTCTCTAAAGGGTAACAATTGTCCATCAAGCACCATCTGAGCTAGATTTGATTGGTGACCCTCTCCCGCTGGAGGATATGCAGGATCCTATCGGGTTTTGGTTTTGCCCGGGGTCCCAGGGAACATCACATGCGGTACTGATGGGACAGGCCCTGCAAGACGGGGCTGTTTGACATAGAGTAAATGCGATGGCTGTTGGAAATTATATGTCAAGCAAGCCCTCCTGAAAAGATGGCAACTCCCTGTGACTCAGAGGCAGGGAGCACTGTGTTGGTGTTAGCTTCCAACCCCGACCCGGCTTTCTGCACTGACTGCCGAAAAGGCTGTGCGTTAATCCATTCCCTTCACGAGGCGAGCTTGGGAAATCAGAGCAGAGGGGGCAGCAAGTGTATTCAAAGGACATTTGTTGTAAGAAACAGAAAAATCCTTATTAAATTATTACTTGGCACGGGTGCTCAGCTGGAATCTCTGCAGATTCAGATTGCAACTCAACTAGTAACCTGGAGGTGAAAGACTGTAATAGTCCATTAACAATGCGGTGACCTATCCACCCTCCCCCAAGTCTAATGACATTTTTCTAGTCCTCTGCAATCCATAAAATTGATTCTTTTTATAACTGCCTTTAATTAAAAGGAGACAAGTTAAATATGTATTGTATTATTGGTGCCCATAGGTTTATGGGGCTCTTTCAGCCCTTTTTTTCTACAGAAGATGGCGTGTACATCAGATCAGAGTGGGAGGGAAAAATTCATGCCAGAACATCCCTTCGGAATACATATACGGAAGCTGCAATCTCCTCTCGCTCTTTCACTGATGGCATGTTGGGCTCCAAGCCACATTGCTTAAATTTCCTGAGACAAAAGTTACCGGGATATGGGGATTTTAATGTAGCTTGTCGGGCTTGGGGTGTATGACCCATGTCCTGAGGGGGAGGAGAGCTAGGATACGAGCAGCATTGAATTGATGGAGGAGACCTAGTACTCTGCAAGACAACTCCCTCCAACATTTTTAAATGTTCTTTTTAATGAGATTTTCAGCCCACCCCAAAGGACCCCATTGCTTTTCTGTGTGAGGATGCTGTTTCTTTCATACTCAGTCTGAGCAGCAATCATAGTTTCATTCTTCCTGGAGAGCTTATTGCTCCTCCAGCTCCCGTTAGGATCTAGTTCCCCTTAGTGCTAGCACACTTCAGCATTTAACGAAATGGCACTGCATGTCTCTCCTTAGCTGTGGCTCCCCGGGTGGATTTTGGCTGCTTTTCCCTCCATGTGCAGCCTGTTGATCTGAGCTCTTCCTACCATGCCCTGTGATAGCCAGAATTCACTAACCAGTTTATTCAAGAGCAGAGGGTTACTAAACCTCAGCTCGTAGCTGTTTTACACGAGCAGTAGTAGTAGTTCTGCTATAAGAACATGTGTAAGTTAGATGTATTGAAAACAATGGGTGGCTGAGATGTACGTGGGCTGTAGGGGTCCTGTCAGTGCCATGACTGTCCTTTTTTCCACCTTATATATCTATTTTGGCTTTTTTTTTTTTTCTCCTGCTCAAGATCCCACTGGTTCTGGACACAAAAGGCTTCATGCAACCGAAGCAGCCCATCGTCCTGAAGATGGTCCGGAGAGCCCATGCTGATCTGGAGAAGTGAAGGAAGTGGGAACAGATCAGAGGCTCTTGTTTGATGGTGCCTCCTCTTAACTCTTGAGAGGAGACCTGGACTGATGTGTGCGTTGTGGAAATGTCAGTGGTGCAAACCCCCATTTCACAACAGGGCATTAGAGGTTTGGCCCAGCATAATACCATGAGCATTTTCCTAATGAACACGAGCCTCAGATCCCACTGTCCCCAATCACAATAGGCATTTTGCAAGACCATTTGCACTCAAGCTATTTGGGCATTTTTTTTCTTTCCCTCTGAAGAGGCACTTTTCTAAGCAATTTGATTCCAGACACTGTCAGTCTCTTCTGGCAGTGCAATTTAAATCAAGATAGGGAGAGCAAATTGCACATAGTTAAGTAATGCTACCATTGCTCCTGTTCCTGCTGCCTGCTGGGTGACTCTCTCTGTCTTCTGGGTTTATTCTCCTGGGGATGCAGGAGAATTAGTCCAGGACTATCTCCTCAGCTGTGTGCTATGACCCTGACAAGTGTTAAAGTGATCACATCCTTGCAGGAACGAACGCCTGTGGCACATTTTCTGATGCTGATTTATTTAGATTTTTCTTATGATTTTAGATGGCTTTTGCTTGATTCAGATTGCAGATGAGTTAATTGGAGGAGCCCAGAGACAAGCAGTTACCCCTAATAACTGGAGATTTGCGGAGGGGGAGAGAAGTGCCCCGCATGTGTTTCCTGATTGTTTGCTTATTTTACTGCGGGTGTGCAGCCGTCGCCCCTGGAAGGGATTGTCAACACGGCACCATCTATACCATCTATACTGCTGTCATGACACCTTTTAGCCTCTGATTTATATGAGGCCGTTGGAAGACTGACAACTGAACTAATAATGATGCAGAGTGCAGCACTGAGGGCCTTGAGATGTCCTGGAGAACCCTAGTCTGGAAGAAAGATGTTGCCTTTGGCTACTGAGAGCTGGAAATTCTTGCTAGACTTCGTCATTTTTGTAGGTTCTAGAAGACCTGTACACTCACATTTCATATTATTCCTCCAGAAACAGCTACTGCAGGGCTGCTGCAATAAAAAGCCCACTTAGCTCTTCTGTAACCACCTGATGCCAGTCTCCGATCCTCTTCTCTCCATACACAAGTGAATCCATCCGTAGGTCTCATAAGCCACTGGCCACACAATGATGTGGAATCATCACCTCTCCTGGCTGGGCTTCCTCGCTCATTGGGTGGGATCCTTGAAGGAAGTCCCTCTGCCTCAAAAATCAGTGCCGTGGAGTGGAGACAGAAGTCCTCTTTTGCAATTCATTCTTCCCCTGTCACCTGGTAGCACACAAATCACCGAGGGTGAAGTCTTGCTAGCCTCAGCCTTGACTGTGAAAGTCGAGGGGTTTGATTCCAGCATCTGCTCCATGCTGCCAACCAGCTGACCGCGTGCTGGGTTCAAAGCACTCTCCGTGCTCTCTCCCAAACACCCCATGCACCCACTTCACTGTACCCTTCCACAGGAGGGTGTCTTCTGCTTCCAAGCAACCAAATTTCAGCGCTGGGTGAAATATTTGCATGTGCACATACACCTAACCCAGTCACTGCCATGTCTAATGCTGCTTGCATTCCTGGAGGATGAAAACTCATTATACCTTGAATGAATCCAAGTCATTACTCCACGCGTACCATCAGTAGTAAGAGCTGCTCCTGGCGATGTGGTGTTACGATACGCCCATCCAAGATAAATGGCTGAGCAGAGCCATTGATGGTATGAAGTGGTTACCCTTGCAAAATTTGGCTTAGGGACTTTAGTCGCTATACTGCAGTTTCT